TTTGAAAACCTGGAGTCGTGATTGTTTTGGGTCTGTTCATAAACAAAATTTTAAACTGGAAAGACGTTTGTGGTCAATTCGGGCTGCCCCAATCTCAGCTGCAAGTGTAACTGAGGAACGTGCTTTAGAGAAACATTTATGTGAGCTTTTTGAACACGAAGAAATAATGGAGCATCGACGCTCTAGGATTGACTGGCTCAAGGAAGGTGATCGTAATACCGATTTTTCCCAAGCACGTGCCAAGGCTCGTAGGCGCATCAATAGAATTCATTCTCTTCAGCAAGATGATGGATCAATATGTGAGTCACAAGATGCGATAAAAAAATATGGTGCAACAATTTTATGATGAGCTTTTTACTTCTCAACCTTGTGATACTTCTGCAGTTCTTGATGCTATTACTCCTAAAGTTTCTCCAAAAATGAATGATGATTTGTGTAAACCCTATTCTAATGAGGAGATCAAGACCGCTTTATTCCAGATGGGGCCTACCAAGGCGCCGGGACCAGATGGTTTTCCAGCATTGTTTTACCAGACCCATTGGAATTTTCTGCAAGAAGAAATTTGTCAGGCTGTTAGAAGTTTTCTTGAAGGAAATCCAATTCCTGATGGTTTTTGCGATTCAGTGATTGTGCTTATTCTGAAGGTGTCTAGGCTGAAGCAGCTTAAATTTTTTAGGCCAATCAGTCTATGTAATGTGTTGTACAAGATTGCCTCTAAGGTGCTTGCTAACCGTTTAAAGTTGCTTTTGCCAGTTCTCATTTCTGATTTTCAGAGTGCTTTTGTGCCTGGCCGTTTAATTACTGACAATGCTCTTATTGGATATGAGTGTCTGCACACTATTCGACAACAGAGGGCTAAGCAACCTTTCTTTGCAATGAAGATTGATATGATGAAGGCCTATGACCGTGTGGAGTGGGATTATCTTCATGGATGTCTCTCCAAACTTGGTTTTGCCCTAGCATGGATTAATTCCGTTATGAGATGTGTTACTAATGTTCGCTATGCTGTCAGGGTCAATGGAGATCTTACCGAGCCAGTTGTGCCCTCTAAAGGTATCCGATAGGGTGATCCAATAAGTCCTTACTTGTTCCTCTTATGCACTGAAGGATTGTCAAGTCTGTTAGTACAGAAGGAGAACTGTGACGAGCTACATGGTATCAAGAATGGTCGTCTAGGCCCACCTATCTCACATCTCCTCTTTGACGATGACATCATCTTCTTTGCATGGAGTGATACACGTAGTGTGGAGGCTTTGAAGTCCATCTTGAATCTTTATTGCCAAGGTTCTGGCCAGTTAGTCAACAAGGATAAATCTGCTTTGTTTTTTGGAAAGAAGTGTTCGGTGCAGGTCAAACATAGAGTTAAAAATCTGTTAGAGATTTCAAATGAAGCTTTCAATGACTCCTATCTTGGTATGCCATCAGAGGTTGGCAAATCCCCAACAAAAACTTTCAAATTTTTTATTGTTCGTGCTTGGGCTAGCATTTCTGGATGGTCTCACCGTCCAATTTCCAGAGCTGGAAAAGAAGCCTTGCTAAAGTCCATTATCCAGGCTATCCCGACATACATTATGAGTTGTTTCCAACTGCCAATTGATATTTGTGAGAAATTCCGTCAAATAATTGCTGATGAGTGGTGGGGCCGCGAAGATGGAAAACGAAAAATGCATTGGCGCTCGTGGGAGTGGTTGACTACACCCAAGGCTCTTGGAGGTATGGGCTTTCGTGACATGGACCTTTTCAATCTGGTTATGCTCGCCAAGCAGGGATGGAGGCTACTGACGAATCCATTCTCGCTTTATGCTCGGGTTTTGAAAGGACGATATTTCCCCACTTCTGATTTCTGGAATGCATTAGCGCCAAGGTCTGCGTCTGCTACTTGGCGTGCTATATTAGCCGGACGTGATTTACTCCAGAAGGGAGTCAGGTGGGGCATTGATAATGGTGAAGATGTTTATATTCTCTCAGATCATTGGATCCCTTCGACTCCTCCAAAGTGACTGTATCCTTTTCTGCCTATACCTGCTAATGTTAAGGTAAAATGCTTGATTGATGAGGAATCTAGTACATGGAATCAAGATTCTGTTAGGGCCTTTTTCCGTGATGATATTGTTGCAGAAATTCTCCGCATTCCTATAAGCAGGCATGGTGGTGTGGATTTTGCAAGCTGGCCTCTCACTATGTCTGGTGAATATTCGGTGCGATTTGCATACAATATGGCGCGATCGACGCATTTTCTTGAAACTCGCAGCAACTGTGGTTCTAGACAATCCTCGAGTGTGGCTGCTGAGGAGAAGAGTTGGAAGGCGATATGGTTTATTAAAGCACCCAACAAAATGAAGGTCGCACTTTAGCGTTTCGCTCATGATTGCCTTCCATCTGGGGCTCAATTGCAACACCACCATGTTCCTGATGCTGCGTGTTGTTGCTTCTATGGGCGACTGGAAAGCGTGGAGCACGCCATACTTTTTTGTCCACGTGCAAAAACTGTTTGGGATGCGATCAAGGAGTGGTCTGTCATTCAGCTTCGTCGCTCTTCTTTCAGGAATACCAAACTTTGGCTTTTTTATTTTCTCTCAAGATCTTCTGACAAAGAAGCCATGGTTCTGGCTGTTTCTTTTTGGCACTTATGGGAAGCACGAAATGATGCGCGGCATTCGTTAGAAGCTCCACATCCTTGTATTACAATTGAGAAAATCCGTGCTTATACTGATTAGATTCTGCAGCATCTCTATATCCAAATACCTTTCATTAGGCGTGAGTCTTCTTCACCCAATCCAATATGGACTCCACCGCCGCCTGGTGTTATTGCCATCAACTCGGATGCTGCAATCTTTTTAGATATAAACATGTCAGGTGCTGGAGTGGTGGCCTTAAACCATGAAGGTAGATGTGTTGCTGCATGTTTTGAACCTATTCAAGGCACGATGGAGTCTGAACTAGCTGAGGCGCCAGCTCTACGAAGGGTTGTATACCTGGCAAATGATGAACATTTTTCAAATATTTTATTTGCATCAGATTGCCAATCGCTGGTAAATAGAATTATTTCTGGCAAAATTTTGTTCGTTCCAGTATCGGTACGGTGATTAATGATATCAAGTTTGCTTTAAGGGGCTTTGTGTCTGCGGAATTCAAGCATGTTCGTCAGCAAGTTAATGTGGATACTCATCTATTAGCTAAGTCTTGTAAGAATTTGTCTAATCTAGTTATTTTTCATTCTATTTCGGATCGTATCCGGAAGACTCTTAGAGCAACTTCAATGGGCGATCCATTTCATTCGCCCGCGTTCGTTTGGGTCGGCGCGGACAAAAATGGCGGCCCAACGCGTCGACCCAAACTCAAATCGTGTCCGTCCGACGTCCGCGCTGACCCATTTCCGGCCCCAAATTGTGCCTGGAATGCGTCGGCGCGGAAGCGCCGCACGTCTCCTCGTCGTCCGCCGCGTCCTCACCTGGCTGCCGTCCAACTACCTTGGTCAACATAATTTATGACGACCGCCTACCTTGGGCCCATGCGTCAGCGACGGTGGTCGTCCTTTTTTAAGCCGGGCGTGCGGTAGGGCCGTCCTCATCCACTACCACTCGCCCCCGTCCCCATCTGGCCACCCTTGCCCTCATGCCGGCGACAACCCTAGCCACCACCAGTATGGGTTTCTTCTCCGGCATCGGCAGCAGCGGCAAGGGCAAAGCCCCCGCCCGCCATTCCCCCTCCCTCCCCTCCCTCCCCGCGCCGGCGCGCGTTCCCCGGCAGAGGCAGCGCATCAACGTGCCGTTGCACCAGGCCGAGTGGCACTGGCACCACCGTGTGCCTCTGTCGTACCCGGACGTGACGCTGCCGCACGACTGGCATTTGGGTCCGGAGAGGATCCCAGTGCCGGCGGCGCCCGGATGGCCAGGGTCCATGCGAAGGAGGTGCGGCGCCGGCGGGCGTTGCTGACGTCGGAGCAGCGCGCCGACCCGCGCTTCGCCGTCGACTCGCTCAACTGGGCTCGATGGTTCGCCTTCGAGCACGAGAAGGCGAGGCGACGCGGCGTCCGCGGCATCGACCACAGCCTGCCGCCGCCCGCGCTCGTCGTCCGCGATGAGGACCGGGAGGCCGAGGCCGTTTACCAGGCGGCCATCAAGGAGAGCGAGGAGGAGGAGCGGTGGAGGGAGGCGGACGAGGCGGCGTTCGAGGCAGCCATGGCGGAGGCCATGGCCCTCTCCGCGATGGGCGACTGCGTCATGCCGCCGGTGGCCCCGCCGTCCCCGTCCAAAGCCGAGCCGGAGGAGCCGGCCTACCTCGAGCGCTACTCCTGGACCGGAGTAGTCCGTGAGTGGGTCAACGCTCCGTCGATCTGGCTCTGGGCGACGGAGAAGCAGGAGGCGGTCTACCTCGACCACTGGCGCCGTGTTCGGCTTGCCGAGGACCGCCGGGAGGGCGAGCGCCTGCAGATGCTCGAGCGCGAGGCCGAAAAGGAGGCGCGCCAGGCCCAGGCAGTTGCGGCAAAGCCCGACATCACCGCCGTCTGGAACACGGCGTTCCCCTGGGCCGACCCTGCGCCGACGTTGATCGACCTCACCGGTCCCGACGCAGACGCCGCCGCCGACGAGGATGTTTAGTGTTTTAGTTAATGTAATGTGGACTTTCGCAGGCCTTCGTGGCCGGCTTTTATGTTTAATTAAATGCATGTATTTATTTTCAAAATGCTTGCAATACTTTTTTTTGGCGCGCCGATGAAATTAGTCAGGCCAGCGTTGGACGCTCGCGCCGACCCAAACATAGCGTCGGACGCTTGTGTCCATCGGGCCGAGCCAAACGGACAAAAAACGGATAAAAGCGCCGTCCGTTTGGGTCGGCCGTTGGAGTTACTCTTATATCTTTGGTTATGTGATCAATAAAGCTGATGTTTAAAAAACAATTTGGATGGTGGGAAGTAAGCAAAGAAAGAATGGGTTCTTTCTTCACACGGATAGACCGACGTCCGACTCCCGTGAGTGTCCCGCTGGGCGTGGTGCGCCATGACCCCCGCCGTGCTTCCCCTCGCCCCCTCGCCTCCTTATCCAAAGCCACCACGGCTATGCCACAAACCCACCCCCGCGCGCCCGCTCTACCGGTGCGACGCCACACGCCGCGACTTCGCTGTCTACACCGCCTCCGCTGCCGCAGCCGCAATGAGCCCCGCCGCCGCTACTGCGGCAGATGAGGGGCTCCCTTCGGCGTCACAGTCACCGACGCTTCACCCTCCAAACGGCGGGGCTACCTCGTTGTTGGTCGGCATCGCAAACACGAGGTCGTGGTGGCAGTACTACGGCAGCGGCTTCTCCATCCGCGTGCCGCCGTCCTTCGACGACATCTTGGAGCCCGAGGTGACCGGTCTCGTCTACTTTTCTCCCTACCCTGCTTCAGATTTTCATAGCAATTTTGGGGTGAGCTCAAGATTTGTTTTCGGCTGCATTTCAGGATTTCAGCGCCGCCATGACCTATTATGGCGACAAGGCCAAGGTCAGGGCGTACGCAGCTCGGTTCGCATCTCCAGATAGGTAGGTAAGCAAGGCCCCTTTCGACATACCAGCTACAGACCTGTTGCATTTACAGCTGTGTGAAATGTTTATATTTTAATGATTACTTCCTCCGTCCGATGAAGAGTGTACATCTAGAAATTTTAGGACAAATTATGAAGTGAAGTAAAATATGCATTGGAAAGGTGCAAGCCACCATCTCTCTCCTCTTTAATTATCCAACCCCCAATGAGCTAAGTGCATGTAGAAATTAAGAAGACCATGTGTAGAATGTTATTGGTCTTGATTACCGTGTGATGAGAGAGAAGTATTTTTTCCTACTTTAAAGTGCATTGGAAATATAGAAGTACACTCTTTTGTGGACAAATTTTAAAGCCAAACACACACTCTTCACCGGATGGAGGGAGTAAACTTATAAATTTTGGCTAGAAAATTAGGAAAGTAAAGGAACTATATTATTCTCTGGGCTTTCCTGCGTGAAAGCTTAGATGTACTCCTAGCTACGAAATATTGTTACCACACCGCAAACACAAATTATGTTAAGTTAGCACTTTAATCGTTTGAGATTTTTGTCCGTAAGTTAAACTTTTTTTTTTGCGGGTAAGTTAAACTGATTTAATGATTTTTTTTCTCTCATGTCGGTTGATATATGGTGTTCACTTTCTTTCATTTGCTAGGCTCATCCCAAAAAAGCTCTGAAACCAATCTAGAGTTTCTTTTAAATAATTGATTTAAGATCTTGGATACGCGGCCTGTGATTACCCTATACCTCTTCACAATAGTTCTATGCACATGCCTTCTCCACTTACTCTTTTCCCTGTACCTCTTCACAATAGTTCTATGCACATGCCTTCTCCACTTACTCTTTTCACTTTCAATCAGTTGTCCACACCACATGCATGAGATGGCATGATAGCATGGTTAATAATATAGCCAACTGATGGCCATAAGGAACTGCCATGTCATCTATAGCCACCATCTATAGGTACTCATACAATAATGTGGTCTATGAGGTTGGCTATTACCTTAGTACTTTTTTTTCATCTTCTCTCTACCTCTTCCTTCACATTTATTGCATTTACCTGGAAATGCGAATATAGCTAGGCTCTTGCATGAGAGCCAACTCCCCTTACTTTTTCACATCTCCCTCCACATAGGCAAAAATGACATGGCTATAAGCCCACTATTGTACTAGCTCTTATGCAATCAATGCATAGCGCCATCTCTAACTAATTCTTCACACAACATGCATGAGATGACATAATGATGATGTCGCACGCATGCATGTGGCGTGCTTGCACGGTTAAGAAAAATAGGCAGTGGGTTGCAACTATTTAGAAATAGAGGATTCTTCACACAACATGCATGAGATGACATAATGATGACGTCGCACGCATGCATGTGGCGTGCTTGCACGGTTAAGAAAAAAAGGCAGTGGGTTGCAACTATTTAGAAATAGAGGATTACATTCGAATATGCCTAATGCAGAGAACCTTCTTCCTGTTTCTAATGTAGGTCAGAACTTGTAAGCGTGGTAATCAAGCCATCTAATCAGCTCAAGATCACATTCCTAGAGGTATGTTGAGGAACTTGCCATTTTTCACAACTGTTTCTTTACTTAAGGGCACTGCTAACTGGGGTGCACACGACCAGCCCGTGCGGTTTTGTAATTACATATATAGATCTTTTAGAAAAATAGATCTTGCCCTGCTTCCACCTCCTCCAAACTAGAAGTCCCCACCTGCACTTGTCATGCCGCTTCCCCGCCTCCGCCGCTGCGGCGTGCCCGTCTCCTGCGAGGTCCTGGCATGCTCTTGCCCCTCGTAGGTGACGCTGTGGCCAGCCGCAACGTCCCTGTCTTGAGCTCGACCAATTGTCTAATCTGAACGGCGGTCAAAACTAAGAGGCCCCCACCCGCACCTGTCAATTTGCTTCCTCGCCTTCACCAGCGATGCCGTGGCGTCCCCGTCTCCAACTCGGGTGTTATTCTTCTCCACGGTAGAAATCGACTGAACCGAAGGAAAAAATAGGACGTAAAAAAATCTCAAAGAAAAAATACGCAAAAAAGCCCACAAAAATACACATGCAGCTCTCTTGTACGAAATATATCAGCCCCCTTCCCCTTTGGCGCATTTAATTCACACCAGACCGACATTAAATGGGATGCACGTTACGCGTGGTCCATCAATTGGTCGCTGCTGCAAGGAAGGTGTTTTGCTTAACATCGGGGTTGTTTTGTGTTGAGCAGAGGAGGGGCCTGCCGAGTCAATGGCTCTTGCGGATGTGTCTTGCACAACTTCGCGCACCTCCTGGTCTAGGGCGGCCACTCATTGGAATGGGCCTGACCTGCAAAATATGGGGCTCCATTCAACACCCCCCCCTCAAGAGGGGTGATAGATATCTATTATTCTCATCTTGTCACACGCCAGACTACATACTTTAGTTCCTAATCCTTGTCAAGCAGTCTGCAATTTATTGCTCTGAACTCACATGCTCTATCTTGATGATCCCAACATCTAACTTCTATTTGATGAAGAATCTATCTATTTCCACATGCTTAGTTTTGTCATGCTGCACTAATTTTTTTGCTATGTCTGATTGCTGATTTGTTATCACACCACACATTCAAACAACTAGTCTTCAATATCTTCAATTCTTCTAATAAATTTCTTGTCCACAACCTTTCACTTAGCCCTTGAGCCATAGCTCTATATTCGGCCTCGACAGTTTAGGTGCACACAACAACTTGTTTCTTCTCCATGATACCAAGTTCCCACCAACAAAGACACAAAATCATGAGGTTGATCTACAATCATCTAGGCAACTTTCCCATGGTATCCATCGACCACGAGATGCTTGTTACTCTCAAATAAGAGTCTCATTCCTGGTGCCCCTTCAAGTACCTTGAAATTCTATACACCGCTTCAAGATGATCACTCGTAGGTTCATGCATGTATCTTCTTACTACACTTACCGCAATGGCAATGTCAGGGCATGTATGACATAAGTAGAACAACCTCCCAACTAATCTTTGATATATCTCCTTATCCACTTCTTCTCAGGCTGTCACTTTGTGGTTTTGCTCAATTGGGGTTGAGGCCATCCGACATCCTAGCATTCCTACATCACTTAGTAGATCTAAAGTATACTTCCTCTAAGATAGCGCAATTCCCTTGGCAGACCTGGTCACTTCTATGCCCAGGAACTATTTGACTCGGTCCAAATCTTTGACTTCCTCTGAGATAGTCAAGGGACGCCACGCAGGTGGCAACGTCAGTGGCGGCGTGGCGGCGCTTGGTGTGAGGTGGCAGCCATGGCGCTGCCGAGGGCGACGAGCAGCGCCGGGGGTTGGGCGGCACGACCTGGGCTGAAGACGGCATCGGTCGGCATGGGAGTCTTGAGAGTCGAGGCGGTCGGTGATAGGTTCATAAGGCGTTGTGGGTAGCTGATGTTGGGTGGGGGAGTTGTTGTACCGCGGATAGCTAAGATCATGAGCCCTCCGTCCCCGTTGATCGCCGGAGTTGTGTTAGGAAGGATCCGCATTTTGCCTGGTGGTCACCAGCTAGGCACTTTAGGCAGTTCCAACGATTCCCACTCCATTTCCGAACTCCCTGCCCTCTCGACGCCAGTAGTAGGAAGCCCAGGACAGTGGACTGGGCTCTTGGTCGGAGGTTCTTCGTCTGAAGTACCAAAGTCGATCTCTTCTTCTGCTTTTATATCGTTGATGGAAAATCCCTCTTTGTCGAGGTTGTGGATGGGTGAGGCCATTGGCTCGAGGTTCATGGACGTGATTTCAATTGGAAAGGGTGTTGGAAGAGAGGGAAGATATCCGTTGGGGACCTAGGGTGGGCGCCAAATGTCGATGAATAATGTTGTCATGGAAGATTGTAGAGAGAGGGATAGCTCGTCATCAATGATGGTGATATAGTAGTTTTACACAGGTTCAGGCCCTTGGATGGGAAAAAGCCCTACATCCTTCCTACCTATCTTTATTTATTAAAATCACAATGGAATTTTTCTACCTACCGAGCTATAGGCTACCCGCTTGACCCCCTTATTTTGTGGGCATATGGATAGTCATAGCATTTTATATGCACACATATGAAACAAATAGTGGTTTTTTTTGAAAAGGAGGAAAGCTCCCGACCTGTGCGTCAAAACGATGCATGCAGCCATTTTATTTAACGAAAGTACGAAGACAAAGTCTGAGGTCCAGTACTGGCTCACAAAAGGAGCCTGCACGAAGTAAAAAATGTAAAGTAAAAGATGCCACATCCGGCAAAAAAAAGGCTACGATGACTAAACACCTAGCCTATTATTAACTCGCCATCCAAATCGGTTGAAGATAGCCCGTGGTACCATCTCCCACCGGTTGCACCCAGTAACCAAAAGCTCCCTGGAGTCCGCAGGAATGAGTAACGACCACGTACGGATCCAAGCTGTGGCTTTGTAGATAACCTGCAAAAAGTTGGTAAAAAATTTCCCGTTAAGATCATATCATTTCTGCAGTTCCATATAGCCCAAAATAGTGCACATATTCCTATTTGAATATGTCTCGCAATATTGGATTCCACGCAATTTAGCCACATCCCAAATAACGTGTTGATGCTAGTGGGAGGATTAACGTTGAAGGCTATATGAATCGTACGCCAAAGCAGTTTGGTTAGCGGACAATCGAGAAGAGGTGTTGTATATTTTCATCATGGTCGCAAAAACAACATCGAGAGCTACCCACCCATCTTTGCTTTAGCAAGTTATCCTTGGTTAAGATCACTTCCAACCACATGAAAATTTTAATCCTCAACGGAACTTTAATCTTCCAGATATGAAGTGATCTCGAGATTGGCCTAGAGTCAATTAGATCCAAGTACATGGATTTCACCGAGAAACTACCATTCCTAGATAATTTCCAGTGAATGGCATCTGGTTGGTCTGAAAGTTGAACGTCCATCAACCTGTGCACCAAGTGCAACCACGAGTTCCAACATTCCCCCACCAGAGACCTCCTGAATTGGATATTAAGAGGGACCCTTTGTAGTACTATAGCAACATAAGCTTCCTTACGTTGTACAATATTATATAACGTGGGGTATTGCAGGGCTAAAGGCGTCTCCCCTAACCATGCATCTTCCTGAATCTAGTTGTGTTACTGTTACCAATGATAAATTTCACCCTTTGAAAAAAGGTTTCTTTCATCCTCAATAACCCCTTCCAAAATGGTTAGGTCTAGCGGTAACCTAGGCCAATGTCTTAGATTGTAGGTACTTGTTACGCAAAATTTGTACCCTCGTACCCTCAATCACAACAGACAACCGAAATAGGCATTTGCTAAGTAGGCATCTACTTCTAAGTTCTCTACCCCTAACCCACCCTGGTCTTTGGGTTTGCAAATTATATCCCATCTCGTCAATCTGTATTTCGTCTTAACTTCATCACATTGCCAGAAAAAGCGAGATCGATAAAAGTCTAGTCTTTTCCGTACCCTATAGGTACTTCAAAGAAAGATAAAAGGAGCATCAGCAAACTAGTCAGAACTGAGTTTATCAACACAAGCTGGCCCCCATAAGACATAAGCTTGCCCTTCCAGCAGCTTAGCCTTTTTTCAAATCGATCTTCAATGCATTTCCACTCCTTATTAGATAGTTTGCAATGATGAATTGGTATCCCTAGATAACTGAACGGTAGGGAGCCCATTTCACATCCGAACAACTATTTGTATGCATCTTGTTCCTCTTTGGCCCTCCCAAAACAGAACCATTCGCTCTTGTTAAAGTTAATTTTCAGTCTCGGTAGTTCTTCAAATAAGCTTCATATTTCTAGCTTCTTCAAGATCATGTTCCATGAAAATAATTGTGTCATCCACATATTGTAGTATGGACACTCCCGCATCCACAAGATGACCCACATCCACAAGATGCGGAACTAGTCCTTCTACTTGGCCGTTTTCTTTAGCCCGACCGATAAGAATTGCCAACATATCCGCAACTATGTTGAATAGAACAGGAGACACCGGGCTCCCTGTCGTAAGCCCTTATGCGTCTGGAAATGATGACCTATGTCATCATTCACCTTAACCCCAACACTATCTTTTTGAATGAAGGAGTCCACCTGTTTCCTCCAGGCCTCATCGAACCCCTTCATGTGCAGGGCCTACTGGAGGAAGGGCCATTTGACCTATCATACGCTTTCTTGAAATCCACTTTGAAGATAACCTCGTCCAGTTTCTTCGAATGGATCTCGTGAAGAGTTTCATGTAAGACAACCCCTTCTAGGATGTGTCTTCCTGGCATGAAAGCAGTCTGAGATGGTTGCACCACCGAATGGACAATCCGCGTCGACCTAGTCGTGCCAACCTTGGTGAAGATTTTGAAACTCACATTGAGCAGACATATCAGCCTAAACTGCTCAATGCGTATCGCCTCCTCCTTTGGCAACAACGTTATTGTTCCAAAATTTAGGTGGAATAGCTGTAACTGTCCGTTAAATAAGTCATGAAACATAGGCATAAGATCACCCTTAATGATATGTCGGCATCTCTTGTAAAACTCTGCTGGAAATCCATCAGGTCTAGGAGCCTTATTCTGTTTCATCTGTGTTACCGCGTCAAACACCTCTTTCTCCATAAACGGGGCAGACAAAATCTCGTTTTCGTCTGTGTTGAGTTGTGGAATGTCCCCTGTTGCGCCCTCATCAAGCAACACAAAATTATCTTCGCCTCCCTGCAAAAGTAGCTTATAATAATTGGAGGTGTACAACTTGAGGTCCTCATGCCCTACAATTGTACCCTCATCCTGTTCTAGTTGGATTATTTTCTTTCTATGCTTCCCATTTGCAATCATGTGGAAGAACTGGGTGTTGTCATCACCTTGGACGACCTTTGTCACCTTCGCTCTGAGAGCCCATTTCATCTCTTCTTCTCTAAGAAGAGGATGCAACTTCTGCTCAGCCTCATTCTTAACAGTCCGATCCGACACATTAAGAACATTAGACTCAGTTTTCAAATCTAACTCATGCACCCGTCTAAGCCGTCTGATCCCAGTTTTTTTAAATGCGATTGCATTGCTATTAGTCCCCTGCGTTTCAAAAGATGATACCTGACAAAATAAAAAAAGTACCTGCAATTGCCGAAAAACCTATGCAAGTTCTTAATTTTCGGTCAAGTAATCTGCGAAAATCATTTAAATCTTCAGATATAATGATGAAAAACACACATGAGTTGGCTAGCCAGGTCAAAACTAAACCCCATATGGATATGTTTCTTTGATTCTTTTTCAAAATCAACCATGACGCTAGATGAGGCAATTTTAGTGCTAAACAGAAGCAACTTCACTCCTAAAAATAACTAATTAGCAATAATAAGCAACTAACTAATAATACAGAACAACTTCGAAACAGAGGTGGATAATATCACATCACCTTCATAAGCAACTTTCCTTCGATAAGAGGCAACCTTAGTGCTAAAAGCAGGCAACTTCACTACATTTTGTGTCCTAGTTAATTTATGTAACATTCTCCTAACTTCCTCATCGGTACTTCTAAGTTGCCTATTGTTCATGCTCGTATGTCGTCATTGTTTCTAAATGGCCTATAATACTACGATGTCGTCTTCCACTTCAAAGTGTTTGTAGGCAACTTAGAAAAACAATGATAAACAACTTCATAATATTGTAGGCAACTATTTTGCAAAGTTAGGCAACCGAGAAGCAATTGTAGGCAACTAATTACCAATAGCAGGCAACTAGGCATCAATATAGGCAGTTTATTTCATTTATAGGCAATTGACCATCAACCGTAGGCAACTAAGAATCAACAATAGGCAATTGAGCAGCCATGATAGACAAGTTGGGACAATGTTACCAAACTCACAGATACACATAGTGCAGTGAAGTTGCTTTGTATGTAGAACTATAGATGCCTTATGTTTTGTGTGATTTTTCTTGTTTTTACGCAAACCAACCTAATAGTCAGTCCAACTAGGCGAAAAAGTAGTTGCTTCCCTATAACACTATAGTTGCCTCCATTGCATCCAAAGTTGCTCTCAAAAAAAGTTTGACAAAACCTACTCATATGAGATCTAGTTTTGGAGAACTCGTCGTCAGAAATCTGCCGGTGAAAACAGAACTGGATTTCGATGCTTGAATCAAAAGTTATGGCTTTTACAACTTTTTAAACCCCCAAATAAATGCACGTGGGGACAGGATTTAGGCTGATTCAATCGGCACCCATGTGCGCTACGGGATGTGGCCAAACAATTACCTTTTTTAGCGTAGACAGCTGGACACAAGGACATGCACTTACTATATACGGCGGTGCGCTTCAGACAACAAACGAGTGCAGCGGCGCTCCCTAGCCACGTCCTTGATTCTTGGTCCAGCCCCTCAAGAACTGGTGCAAATGTCGAATTTTATTTTGCCACGTATCGACATTCGAATGTCCACCTGACTCCTTGGCCCATTCTCTAGCAATGAGATCCATGAAGCCGTCCCTCTCGAACCATCCTAATTTGAAAGAGAAAATGGTCCTGTTTCCCACATGGGTCGCTTCCCCAGAGTCAACCAGTAACGGTGTATGATCAGAAATTGCTCTCTGAAGCGCCTGAACCGTTACCAACGGAAACTTCTGTTCCCACTCTATGCTGGTGAGCACTTGGTCCAACTTCTCATATGTTGGAACCGGCAATGTGTTCGCCCACGTGAACTGTATGCATTGTCTGGCAGTGAGGTCAATCTCCCTCAAATCGAGACTCTCAATGATCGTATTAAACATAAATGACCATCTTCCGTCGAAGTTGTCATTATTTTTCTCTTCTCTCCTAATTATGTTAAAATAAATAGTGGGTTAAAAAGCTTTTATGAACATATGCTAACTGTGTTACTATTGATCATGCTATTCCTTATCACTTTATCCTTGTTACTTAGAAGGCTTGTGCTTTTATCAGATATTACGAAAATAGAAAATCCTCATGTTCTTACGCGGATATTTGTTCACAGGCCAAAGATATAACGGAGTTGGGCACTCTAAAGGAGGCGTCCAAGTTATTTGTACCTGGTAATTTCTATCATCTTAGCTTGAAAGTCGCAACACTTTTTTAATGTGCTTTTAAATGAAAGTTGCCCTGGACAGTTGGACTACTTACTACTTCCAAATATTAGACGAGGTATGAAAAGAACTTAGTAGACAAAGGAACCACTTAATGTTAGCCTTAGCTTGCTGTGGGATGTCACTCTAAATATGTTGATTGATGGTCTGATCAACATATTATGTTTACTACTGAAATTGATTTATTACCATAATCATATTGGTGTGTTGTAAAGTTTTGCTTAATGTGCATAAAAGTTCAAAATAAATAGCAAACATAGCTAACTGCTTTTGGTGAGTTGTCTAATGGGGTTACATTCTTTATTTTGCCTTATGTTTGACATTTTATAATTGCGTAACCGTGCAGTGCAATAGTTTTCGTAAAATAGTTATGTTCCTAGATGAACATATGAGTTGAAAAACTTTGGTAAATAACTTGTGTTAAGGAGTATAAGTATTGGTTCAAGTCCCCTTGCGTATTCATACTAGTCTAGATTTCTTCACTTGTACCCTAAGTCCCTTGTAATCTATATTCACCCATTGGGCTATGTAATACAGACACGTTGGTCCTCTTAACCTGGTATCAGAGCCCTAGGTTTTACCCCGGACACCGCAACCCTCCAATCTCGATCGATTTTTTCAGTCTCTACGTTCTCTCCGTACCACTGATTACGAGTAAGAGGGACTAGTCAAGACTAGTCGACAGACTAGTCTACGAGTCGCAACTTGAGTGCCGACTACAAATCTCGTGTAGACTACTTGGTCTAGTCGAGTAGTCGACAGACTAGTCGAGCTATTTGAGTCAAGCGACTCAAAATTTTGAGGGGATAAGTCACCCAGCCTGGCCGGAGCTCGTGCTCGGGCGGCAGCGATGGCCGTGACACATAGGCGCGCATGGCCCTGAGACGAGAGAGAAGGAAGAGAGATAGAGGAGAGGAGAGGAGGCATGGAGGTGGTTGGCGGCAGCGGCTGAGGCCAGCAGAAGGCGGCTGGAGGTGCGGGTTGCGCATGCGTGCTCCCGTGTGTGATGGTGCTGGCGGCGGCAATGGGATTGATCGGGAGCTAGGGTTCCAGTGACGGGAGCTAAGTAGGCTGGCCACTTGGGCCCAAATGGGCCAGCTAGGGGGTGTTGTGTGGGTGCTGGGCTGGGCTTGGCGAGCGTTGCCTAACACTTCTGGTTTTATTGCATACTGTACTGTTTATATATACTACATACTACTACTTAGTTATTAACAATAGTTGAGTACTACAGTACCATGTCGACTAGTCCAGCACTAGTCTAGACTAGTCACGATTAGTCTATGAGTCTCAACCTCGGAACGACTCGTCGACTCATAAACATTGCTCCGTACCAATCTCCTTCTCTCTTGAACGAAGTTAGCCAGGGTTGTCTCCTGGCTTGACTCCATCCGCTCCCTGATTGAACTTTCTCTCGGTCTCCGTCGATCTCCCTAGATGGATCAAATCTGGCCGTTCCAACCAAATAGCCGCGCGTCGGGCCGACCATCACCCTATACTGCTGCTATACACCACCGGACTCCTCTGACAGATCGGGTCACCGCTCCTGCATCACATCTCCAAGATTCAGCCGCCTCTCCTACTCGATTCCTCGGTTCTTCGCCTCTCCAGTAATAGGACTCCCCCACTGTAGATCACGACATTAACACCCTCTGTTGGCTGGTCCAGATCTACGCCCCAACTCACACCTTGTTTCAGTCCGATACCCGTGACCGTCCAATGTGCCGTTCCCCACCATGACGCCATTGCCGCAGTCTTCAACACTAAATTATGTAGAAAAGGCGAAGCCCAACATATAGTTGTCAGGACCTATTATGAATCCTGAAGAACAGCGACACCTTCAGTTATCAAAGAATACACCTCCTATTCCATTGGCAGGCCCCGTTTGCCAAATTAATAAGGCAGAACACACTACTTAAACTGGAATTTGCTTGTCATCACATCAGCATGGATTTTGCAGAGGGACTACCATAAGGAACTCATCCTGGTTGTGGTAGACAAATTCACCAAATATGCACAATTTTTATCCATGAAGCACCTGCTTATTGTCCAAACAGTTGCTAGAACCTCTGATTACATTTTCAAGCTCCATGGGCTCCCTGCAGTCAGATAAATCTTCACTAGCTCCCTTAAAAAAAATATTCACTAGCTCTCCCCGGCAGAAACTTTCTGAATCCCTGTGAGTCAAGCTCCATCTCTGTAGTTCAACCATCCACAAACTGATGGTCAGGCAGAAAAGAGTAAATCAGTGCTTGGAGAACTACAACTACTTGAGATGCATGGCATTCCAGCAACCCAAGACATGGCATTCCTGCCTAGCTTTAGCAGCTTAGCTGAGTGGTGGTACGATGGTATTTTTTACATTTCCTTGCAGATGATACCTTTTCAGGCACTTTATGGCTTCCCACCCCCTCTGATAGTTGAATCCACCTTGCATGATTTCATCTCCGAAGACTCCCTTGACCTCCTCCATAATAGGGAATTAGCAAACCAGGCCATCAAGGACAACCTCCTCAAAGCACAATGATGAAACACTTTGGTGACGAGAGAAGAAAAGAGAATTCTCTGTTGGAGACATGGTCTACTTAAAGATCCAACATTAGAGACACTTATTTCAGTATTCAAAGAAATCTGAAGCTCCATTCCAAGTTCTATGCCCTCTTTAGAATACTGGAGAAGATAGGTAACACTTTATACAAACTGTTACTCCCTGACGGTTGCAAGTTACACTCAACATTCCATGTCAGTCTACTAAGGCAACATATTGGACCTGATGTGATTCCACTCCCCACCTTCCTCTGTTGGATGATCATGGCCACACTTCAACAGCAAGCTTATACCCAGACCTCAAGGTGCTATCAGTGTTTACCCATAAGGTTTTCCCCTTCACGTGTTGAAAACAAGTCTGATCTTCTAGCGCGCACATGGTTCTGAATCCTGAACAAAAGCGACACCTTCTGTTTTCTGTTCCTCGTCCGACACTAGCTGGAAGCTATGAGATCGTCCAAGGCCAGAATCAACGGCTGGGATGACCTCGATGAACTGGTGAGCAAGTGAATAAGAAGAGGACGCTGCAGGTGCAGGATCCCCACGGCTCCATTTAGTTATTTTTACCCGCCATTTACTGTTTCCTGTGATGTCGTTGTCATCCCTCTCTTTTTAGTTTTACCGAGCCTTTGGACTGTAATGCTATAAAGCCAGTGATTCCAGACAGATCGGGCATCGAGTTGTAATTGTGATAAAGCCTAGCCACCACTGGAGTGGTTTGGCTCTACTTTCCTCTTCCAAGAAATAGAACCCGTGGTAGATCCCCTCTTAATTCAGGGCTAGTTTCTGATCTCTGAATTTTGTGAGGTATAGTAGTTCAGCTCTTGACAATAGTGTTAACAATTAACATGATATACTCATTTGAAATGCTTTATAGACTGTCCTAATATGTTAATTATGTTATTTGTTTCATTTCATAGGCGGTGCAAAAATATACTCAGCTCGAACAATTAAAGTTAAGGATCAGGAGGGTATCAGGTTATTTCTCTCAATTTTCAAGGGAATATTACAAAAGGCAATGGCTTCTGTAGTTAAATTGCTTTATGAGATAATATTTTGCAGGACGTATTACTTCTACGAATTTCGTTTTGACAGACAACATGTTGCTCTAATGGCCACCGTGGATAGTGGGAAGGTACTGGCTTGTCACATTTTATTTACATTTTTGGAAGAAATAAAGACAAATGATATTTTCTTTTCTTTTGCTTTTCATCATGTATTTTGTGCGAAAATTCGTTTCTGAGCCCGGGCTCAAGTGCACCTGATATCTTGGCCATCCAGTCACATGTGGATTCCCGCTGTAAGTAGTATTCCACCCGGTATTCATAGCGTACATGATATGGAAAAGAAATGGGCCATCGCCTTATTTATTACGTGTGCGACCTCACCGCTCGGCCGGAACAGGCCGCCCCGCACGGCCCTCCATTTTTCCTGCGCTGTCCTGAGCCATCTGCGTGGCCTGACGGACAAACACAGCGTACTTATCTTACCCATCTCGCTCAAGCCCAGAAACAAACCCTGTCGACTCGTCCCCTCGCCCCGCCTCCTTTAGCCGCAGAGTGCTCGTACTCAAACCCACCATGGTTGCATGCTCGTCTTCCTCTGCCCCAGTGCCAAATGATGCACTTCTTCCCATGATCTAGTGCCCCTTCTGCGGCGATGACCTTTTCACTGCATCGTCACGGTCATGCCACTTGCTTCGCCAACAATAGCCGCCGGAGCCATGGACACGCACAACCGCTCTGCAACCAACAAGCCTGTTCAAACAGGAGCAGCTAGCTGTTCCAATTTTGAATTACATCACACTAGCCGAGACTGTAGGCTTACTAACTAGTAGATGCACCACATGTTCTCCCACTCCATGTGGCCAACCACACGCAGGCCAGCAAAATACACAAACCAGTTCACCAGCTGCAAAATCGCCAACAAAACTCACAGAGCACAGCGCCCAAGCAAAATTCACAACCAGTTCACCTGAAAACTTAGTCTCTGTTTTTATTCAGGTCACTACTAACTAGATTATATATCCCAATCTGGGATCATTACAAATGTTCAAAACAATAAACACTTAATACATGGATGGATAAGCGTCCAGCACAGATCACACAACACACCAAAGAATACTCATATCACATTTTTTCCAACTAACGTACTAGACTACTAGTTTATGGCCCTAGACTCTCCTTCGGTTACTTCGAAATGTGCAACTTGCACCATTGGTGAACGCTGTCAAGGTACACTTAACTAATTGCCACCTCCACAGCTCTGTTCTGATCTACAAAGATTACCAACACACTCAGTCAGCATGACGGATTCAAACCAATGAAACAGTAAACACCACCGCTGCAGTGGCATGTAAAGTGCACAATCTGTAGGTCCACCCATCATCGTCAAAAATTCCGCAAAAACCCACTCAAAACTTTCTGCTTGATCGTCCCTCACCAACACACCAGCCAATATAATGCTCAAGAAGTGGTTGTTAACCCCCAACAAAAAGACCAAACGGCATGTCATATAGATTCATCCTATACGTCGTATCAAAAGTGATGCCATTCCTAAAGAACTTGTACTGCATCAGGCTGCTACCGTTTATCCACATCAAATTCTCACTCCTGCTCCCGCTATCCACAAGAACTACGTGAAATCAGGGTCTCCAGCCACAATGTCGGCGAAAACCTCCAAAGTTTTCCACACGTCATCGTCTGCCAGTTCACGACCTGAAGAAACTTCCGATGATGCTATACACTTTCCCAAGGTTCACAATATTTTCCTGCAACTGTTTTATAGGATCCTTTGCGTAAACATCTATGTGTGTTGTGTGACGGCCAGTGAACCTTCTCGACCATTGTCAATGACAAAGAGCGGTTGTGATTCTCGCTGTACTCAGTTATGTACAACTTGTTGTCGGATGCCCTCAACAGCCTAATCAACACAGGGCATTTACACCTACACGACCGGCCGTTCTCCGCCTCAGGCTTCCCCTGCACAACAACATGCAGACAATTTAACACATGTTTTCTCGCATCCTCGCAATAGACAAATGCCATCGTTCAAAAAAAAATCAGTCTAGAAAGAAAAGCTCTCACCGAACAGCCACTGAGCCACAAATTATCTCGTGCATCGACTTTGTCCGCTCGTCGTTCAGCCTGCTCTCCCCATACCGTATGCCGAAGCCAACCTCCCAAGAATACAAATTGTAAGTCATACGCGTCACCCAACAAGTAAAAACTCAACCCAAGATCTGGTTTCACCGCACTTTTTGTAGGTTCTTCTGCAAATTTGTGGATAGATTGTTCAAGCGCACTCATCCGCGAGGCACGCGGCATCTGGTCTGGTAGTGCACTACAGAAGCACAACCTGAATTACCCAGAAAGTTCTAGTATCAACTAACAGTTTTCCAAAATTCTGAAAGAAAAAAAATCACCTAACACCCATATTTGAGCATGTTGAACAGACGGCACAAACCAGCCAAACACATGGGACCAATCATAAAATCCCTAAAATCAACTATACAAACTAACTTTGAGGATTTCCAGCATCTATAGGATGGCCACGCACAGCAGGATTCGAACAAACAAAAGTTGACTGGATTACCTCTCTTCGTCCATCAGGGGGCTTCGGGATTCACCTTCCCAGTGGATTTCGCAGATTGGGTCGGCGAGGCATTCTTCCTCCGGCAGCACTCGCCTGCAGACCGCCCAGGGCTGCAGCTCCCTACCCGCTGCGCACAGCCGGAGCCGCAAATTGGAATCCGCCGGCAAAGCAGGCGCCTCCTCGCGTGGCGACAGTAACGCCAGTGGCACATGATATGGGTGCTCAAACCTTTCCGCGAATTCTTCCCTAGGCGGGAACCTGAAACCGACGCTGGAATAAGCGGTGGCGACGGGGACGACGGCAATCCACAGAAGCAGATCTTCAGACGAGTTAATGGTGTGAAAAAACTGACCGGTCTACTGGATCCAGCAAGAACTCGAGCCCGTCGGCTTCCATCGCAGCTCCGCTGGAAGGGGTCGCAGCCGCCGCCGCCGCCGCCGACGACGACGCCATGCTCGCGAGCTACCATCACCCACTTCTCGGTCTCACTACTTTTTTCTTTCCCTTGCGAAGCCCACGCAGTAGACAGGACAGCTCAGCTTCGACCATCGAGCTGGACTACTTGGGCTTACGGCATGGGCCACGGCTCAGGACCCCAACCACTCACGGACGGACACCGCCAGCTACGAAACTGGCCCACCTGTACGCACTGTGCAAAGCCGTATATCGAGCGTATCCTCATTTTTCGCCGCTCCAACCCTGACGCGTCTGACACACTTCCGTCCATCCCTATGCACCTGCCAGTGGCTGAGATATCAGGTGCAGCTGAGCCCGAGCACCAAAAAGACCCTCTCTGTGTTGCTACTTTCTTTAGTCCTTGCAGCTGCATTCTAGATTCTTAAACTATAAAATTATATATCCTACTAATGTCCCCAAGCATTCATCCATTCGTTCGCTCCTTGAATACGGCGTGAACCGATAAACACAAAAATAATGCATGAGTCGTTTGGAGGCATATCACCTACTCTACTCCCAGGCATTATTTCTCGCGCTTGTAATGTTCTTTTCTCTGTTTCCGGTAAAATTTATTGTTGGGCTTCCTCTATGGGTTTCAACTAAAAGAATAAGTGCACATAACATTGATATGTTCAGCTGAAAGACTGCTATAGGTAGACCTTGTCAGAATAATTTCTTTTCGAGAAACTTTCAGACTAATGTCATAACCTTATCAAGACAAGTAATTTTTCTCGTTCTTTTTTTCCCGAGTAGAATATTTTCCTGTTAATTTCTGATTTTTTACCTTGTGGGGTATTTGTGTTGCACTGTGTAACATGCATTGTCATTGGTGGCAGACATATATCGCTGCCGCCACTGCTCCAGAGACGAGGTGGGAGACGGATGGAGTGACATTGCGTTCGGCTGCTGTATCTATGTCTCTCGTGTGATCTACACTAGTGTCAAAAATACTCTTATATTATGGGACAGAGGAAGTACTATTTATATATTATAGAACTACGGTATTAAAACACTTTGAGTAGAGTTATCTGGTTTTCTCACTCCAAGCCACGTCACGTTTCAAATGGCTGACCTTCATCTTGAAGTCGATCAAGAATATTAAATTTACAATTTACAGCATGTGGGGTAGCTCGCAACCGTCCGCCGCCGTGCCGGTGATTCCAGCGCTCGCAACCCACCTGCCTCCACCCACCCGCGTGATCTCGATGCCAATGTGTGTGATTCCTTCGCCGCCGCTCACCCATGCGATTTTGGTGCCAGCCCAACGCCGCCGCCCACCTGCGCGACCTTCACTCGTGCCACCGCTCACTTGTGTGATTCAGCCGCCCAGGGTTGGTGAAGTCACTCCTTCCCTGTAGTTGGTGGAATCGCCACCAGAGCCTGAGCTGGTTGCCGAGTTCCCGACTCTGCTTCTTGTACTCCTGTGGATGGCATGATGATTTGCTAGTTTCTGGAAACATTCAATCAGGAAATCAAGAAATTGATCATGATGATCCGCTAGTTTTTGAAACAATCAATCAGGAAATCATGATTACTACTTTTGGAAACAATCAATATACTCCTTGGCGAATTACAACAATCAGACAAGGTTTGGAGTAGATGAAATTCAGTGCTGAAATTCACTGTAATATTGTTACTCCAGATTTTGGTCACATTTTGGAAACAAACAACCAGACAAGATTAAATGTTCAAAAATTCTATAGGTGCTGACTAAATGGTCCTTGCTATGCCTGTTGACTAAATAGCAGAATCTTACTGTAACAAATACTCCTTGCAATGTTACAATGTGCAATGAGTAATTTAGGAACATTCGGATCATTCATAGACAGAACATATATCAGTTTCTTGTATTACAGACAATTGATTTAGTCAGGTTCTGAGAACATATCTGATGTGTATTTCTCATTCATATGAATCTTCTGCCAAGTGAGCTTTCCAAAAGTCAAAATTAGCCGCCTACGCAGAGCGTAGAGTCACCGATATGGACATGGGATCATGCATGACTGGTATATATGGAAACTTGCATATTCAGATAGCTCAATCACAAGGATAGTTTTCTTGGGCATGCGTAGAGCATATTACTCGTATTAAATCCAATTGCAACAATATTCTTTGCGGTTTTCCCAACACAAATTGGATATGAATTTGATACTTTAAATGGATACTTGATGCTTTAGAAACTGTCTAAAAAACTTCACATTTTTTAAAATCGTTAGTATGCGACCTAAAGTAACAAAAAAAAACATGAGTTTTGACCTAGCACTACATAATGCCACTCAGCTTATCTTAAAATGCAATTTTGGAAAGCATCAGATTTGGAGTTGCTCACCTCTTCCCGTGCGCTCACACCCAACCAAACTTCAAACCAAATGGCAGGCAAGGCCGTAGCCGCGCAGGCACGACCACCTACCACATCGCCGGTGCAATCGTTAAAGCGCCGGTGCAATCGTTAAAGCCATAGAGAATAAATGTATCTTTAAGAAGAAGACTACCGTTGATGATAATGTTACTGTCTACAAAGCTCGACTTGTCGCGAAAGGTTCCCAAAGTTCAAGGAGTTGATTACGACGAGACTTTCTCACCTGTAGCGATGCTTAAGTCTGTCCGAATTATGTTAGCAATTGCCGCATTTTATAATTATGGAATCTGGCAAATGGACGTCAAAACTGCATTCCTTAATAGATTTCTTAAAAAAGAGTTGTATATGATACAACCAGAAGGTTTTGTCGATCCTAAAGGTGCTAACAAAGTGTGTAAACTCCAGCGATTCATCTATGGACTGGTGCAAACATCCCGGAGTTGGAATATACGCTTTGATGATGTGATCAAAGCATATGGTTTTATATAGACTTACGGTGAAGCATGTATTTAGAAGAAAGTGAGTGGGAGCTCTGTAGCATTTCTAATATTATATGTGGATGACATATTACTGATTGGAGATGATATAAAATTTCTGAATAGCATAAAAGGATACTTGAATAAGAATTTTTCAATGAAAGACTTCGGCGAAGCTACTTCTATATTGAGTATCAATATCTATAGGGATAGATTGAGACGCTTAATAGGATTTTCACAAAGCACATACCTTGGCAAAGTTTTGAAGAAGTTCAAAATGGATCAATCGAAGAAAAGGTTCTTACCTGTGTTGCAAGGTGTGAAGTTGAATAAGACTCAAAGCCTGACCACGACGGAAGATTGAGAGATAATGAAAGTCACTCCCTATGCCTCAGCCATGAGTATGCCATGCTGTGTAGCAGACCTGATGTGTGCCTTGCTATGAGTTTGGCAAGGGGTACAATAGTGATCCAGGAGTGGATCACTCGACAGCGGTCAAAATTATCCTTAGTTACCTAAGAGGACTAAGGAAATATTTTTCGGTTATGGAGGTGATAAAGAGTTCACCGTAAAGAGTTACGTTGATGCAAGCTTTGACACCAATTTAGATGACTCTAAGTCTCAATCTAGATATATATTGAAAGTGAGAGCAATTAGCTAGAATAGCTCCATGTAGAGCATTGTAGACACAGAACTTTGCAAAATACATAAGGATCTCAATGTGACAAACCCGTTGACTAAACTTCTCTCACAAGCAAAACATGATCACACCTTAGTACTCTTTGGGTGTTAATCATATGATGATGTGGACTAGATTATTGACTCTAGTAAACTCTTTGGGTATTGATCACATGGCGATGTGAACTATGGGTGTTATTCACATAGCGATTTGAACTAGATTATTGACTCTAGGGCAAGTGGGAAACTGAAGGAAATATGCCCTAGTGTGACGCCCCGAGACCGATGTGCCAGGTGTCTTCCAGTTGTTCGCCGGCGTTGCCATGTCATTTGCTTGCGTGTTGCATTTCATCATGTCATCATGTGCATTGCATCATCATGTTTTCAAAACTTGCATCCGTCCGGGTTTCCCCAGTTCTGTATGTTGTCCGTTCTGAGCCCAACCACACGCACGCGCCCGTGGCATGTCCAAAATATTATTTTATAAGTGGCCGGAAAATGTTCTCGGAATGGGTTGAAAGTTGGCGTGTGGTCTTGTTATAGTGTAGATAGACCGCCTGCCAAGTTTCATCGCATTCGGAGTTCGTTTGATAGCCCAACCGTTAAACCATAGCGGCATTATAGCCGGGCAAACGTCGGACGTTTTCGGTCTCCGAAAACAGATGCCGGGCCCTCTCTCTCTCTCTCTTCTCTCCTCTCAGTCTGAGGCCTTCTGCACAGCCCAGCTAGGCCTACCTATCCCCCTCTCGATCGGATCCGTCGGATCGCGATCGGAGACTCCAAAAACCCCTCCTCACCCCTAACCCTAGCTTATGTCTATATATAGACATCCCAACTTCCAAATATGGACTAACCCAAGCCTACACTATCCCTAGCCCTTCTCCCACCTCGCAGCCGCCGCCCCCACCTCCGTTTTCGTGCAGGCCACCTCGTCCCTGCCACTTGGCGTGTAGCCATTGGCTGCGCGGCCACCCCGCACCGCCCGTGGCCAATCAGAGGAGGCCACATCGCCCCCTCGGCCTCCACCACCACCGCGGCCCTCCAGGCCCATCCACCGTCCCATGCGCTGCTCCTCCCCCGAGCCCCCGCTCGATCTGGACTGCCGAGTCCTGAGCGCCGTCCTCCGTGCCGGCAAGCCCGCCCCGCCGACGACCTCGAGCGCCAACGCCACCCAGGCCCAACCCCGTTACCACCTCGCCACCCGGATCCACTCCACCACCTCGGCGTTTGCACGCCTCCCGCTCCGCGCCCGCACCTCGCCATCTTGCTGCTGCCCGCACCATCGAAGGTCCGCCGGACCCGCGACTAGGTCACTGCCGAGCCTCCTCACGACCAAGAACAGAACCCTGGTGACCTCCCGTGCTCGGATCTGGCCGCCCTGACGCCTCCGCTCGCGGATCCGGCGAGCCCCATTCGTATCACGCCGCCTCCACTCCTCCATGCCATCGTCAGCGCCACCATCAACCTCCCTGCTCGAGCGGGAGCACGAGGACGTCGAGCACGCCTCGCTCGCCTGGGCCAGCCGGCCTCGTTGGCCCAACCACAGCCCAGCGCCTCCCCAGCCCACTGCGCAGCTGGCCCAACGCACCAGCCTCTGCACCGAGCGGGCCTCAGCCCACTAGGTGAGGCCAACCCCAGCGCCCAGCCGCCCCTGTTGCCATCCAGCTCTTGTTTTTTTTTCAGTTCAGCGAATTTATCTATTTTTCCAGAGACAACAGTTTTGCAGAAAACCCCTTCATGATCATGCATATTGTAACTCACAAACGATGCATCATATTAAAATAAACTTAATATGAAAAATGCTTAGAATTGCATCTAGTTTCATAATATGTCATTTTCACCCATGTTTAAAATGTTTAATTTGCTGTTTGTTTAAATTTGCTCCTATGCCATGCTAAAATGCTTTAATTCATAACTAAATAACCGTGACTCCGAATTTAATAAACTTTATATGTAAATGGGGTGGAATTTTGCCTAGTTTAACATGGTCTACTTGTTTTGCATGTTTATTAACTCTAAAATTGCGTTTAGGGCAGAACCGCACCAAATCAAAAATATGCTATGGGGATTTACCGGAATTGTTGTTCATTGCTTCCGGCCTCATTTAAACTTGACTAGATAGGTAGTTTTACTTTGCTTCACCCTCTTGCCATGTTAACAACATTTAATCTTGTTGGTTACCTAAACGAGAGAGAACTAAATAAGTCATGTGGTGTTTTCTTCAATATGCAACTCCGTTGCATATTGAGCTCCACTTAATTTGTAGGATTGTTTGTGCATCTTGCCATGCCATGCATATTTAACCCGGACATGCATCATACTTGGTTGTGCATCATGCCATGTTTATGTGATGGTTGTTTACTATGTTGTTTGCTTCTTTCTGGTGTTTGCTTCTTCGGGTTGGTTCCGGTAACGT